CAATTGGCCCGTGACCCGTGTGCAGCCCGAAGCCTGACCTCAGGTCGGAGGGGGCCCGGCTCGTTGGCAATGTGAATATTCACATTGACATGTTAACATTCACATTGATAGGAGTGTAAAATTGGCCCACAGCCCGTGGGCGGCTCGAAGCCTGATCGCAGCCCGAGGCGGGCTTGGCCCGACCCGTGACAATGTGAATATTCACATTGACATGTTCACATTAACATTGATAGGAATGCAAAATTTGTCCGCTGCCCGAAGCTCGCCCGCGGCCCGGAGTAGGCCCAGACCCAAACCCGGGCCGCCCACGGGCTTCAAGCCGCCCATGGGACGCGAGTCAATTTTACACTCTTATCAATGTGAATATTAACATGTCAATGTGAATATTCACATTGTCAACAGGCCGGGCCGGGCCCGCCGTGGGCGTATTTCGGGCAGCCACGGGGCACGGACTAATGTTACACTCTTATCAATGTGAATGTTAATATGTCAATGTGAATACTCACGTTGTCAACAGGCCGGGCCCGCCCCGGCCCGGGACCGGGCTTCAGGCTGCTCACGGGTCACGGGCCAATTTTACACTCTTATCAATGTTAATGTTAATATGTCAATGTGAATATTCACATTGTCAACGAGCCGGGCTGGGCCCGCCCTGGGCAGTGGGCGGGTTTCGGGCCGCCTACGGGCCACGGGCCAATTTTACACTCCTATTAATATGAATGTTAATATGTCAATGTGAATATTCACATTGTCATCGGGCCGGACCGGGCTTGCCCCGCGCCGCCCACGGGCTTCGTGCCGCCCATGGGACGCGAGTCAATTTTACACTCTTATCAATGTGAATGTTAACATGTCAATGTGAATATTCACATTGTCAACAGGCCGGGGTTAACATGTCAATGTGAATATTTGCATTATCAACGAGTCGGGCCGGGCCCGCCCAGGGCAGCCCACGAGTCGCAAGCGGGTTTCGGGCCGGCCACAGGCCGCGGGCTAATTTTACGCTCCTATCAATGCGAATGTTAACATATCAATGTGAATATTCACATTGTCAAAGGGCCGGGCCCGCCCCGACCCGGGCCCGGGCTGTCCACGAGTCATGGGCCAATTTTACACTCTGGTCAATGTTATTGTTAATGCTAATATGTCAATGTGAATATTCACATTGTGAACGGGCCGGTCCGGGCCCGCGCCCAAGCGGCGGGCTGGTTTCGGGCCGCCCACGGGCCGCAGACCAATTTTACACTTCCATCAATGTGAATGTTAACTTGTCAATGTGAATATTCATATTATCAACAGGCCGAGCCGGGCCTATTTTTTTGGCCTGTGGGCCGGCCCGGCCCAACTCGAATTTTTCCGGGCACCCACGAGGATCGACATGGGCCGGGCCCCTACACATTGACGATATGAACATTTACGTTGACGATGTGAACATTCACGTTAAGGGTATTTTGATAATTATGTCACCCATAGGACTTATTGAAATATAAGAAAATAATGTGAACTAAATGGAACATAAGTAGATGAAAAGGATATTTTAGTCTTCTTATCTCAAATTGGACCTAATGGAATAGTCAAAAAGAATATGGGTTGGATGGAATAAAACTCTTAGAAAATGGATTTATCAAAACAGTTCCCTTATGAAATATTTGATTCTAAATTTTGAATCTTATTTCAAATAAAGTTAACAAAAAAATGTTTCCTTTGCAAATGGTCAATTTTAAGAGCAAAGTTGTCATACAACTTATTTTATGTTTGTTAACTTGTATGTTGTTTGAAATGTAATGGGCCTATTTTTTAATGAATAATGTTAAAATTTTCTTAGTTATAAAATTAAGTTCTGTTGGTTTTCATAATCTATTTTCAATTTTTTTTTCTAAGAAACTAAAAATTAAATTAGTAAAAAAAAATTAAACACATCTTTTTTATATAACTTTATCTTTTAGGAGGGTAGAAATAATTTTTTTAAATATTTTTTTATATATTTATTTTCGTTAAATTAGTTTTTATTTTTCAAAAGTTAAACATTGCGACAACTTTGATTTCATTATTAAATCAATCCATTAAATAAAAAAAAATCAAAACTAAAAACATTACATATATTAAACATATGGATTACAAATTCAAAGACTAATAACCATCCATTACTATCTATTGACAACAAATACAACAATCTATTACATGATAACCATCTAAAAATATCAACAAAAATAACCACCCATTACATGATCATCATTTAAATACAGATTAAAAATTAATTTAGTAAAAAAATAAAAATGTAAAAGATTTATCTTTTTATATAATTTTTTCTTTGGTTGGTAGAAATAATTTTTTAAAATTAAAAAAAAAAATTGACATTTATTTTTGCCAAACTAGTTAAATTGACGATTTTACTCTTGAAATTGAACAACCGTATCTTCAATTGTTCTTATTTAGAACAAGATTCAAAATTTAGAATCAAATGAATCACAATTGAAAAGTCAATAAACAAAGTGACATAAGTCTCAAACTACAGAACGTCTAGTGTAATTCATCCTTTTAAGGTGTTGTTTGGCAAGTTGGTTTGCGGCTAAAATAGCCACAAAAGACAAAATAAGTTATTTTAGCCACAACAAACAAAATATCACATCCAATCCATAATCATTACACTATTCTCTCACAAAAAAAGTCAAAAAAACCTTCCCAAACCAAACTTTTTAGCCCAGGATAAAATAGCCAAAAAAGTCAAAAAACCAACCCACTTTCCAGACGGAGGCTAAATGTGTTGTAATTTTTTTTGATAAATTATATTAGCTTCTCTTGCAATTTAAAAAAATATAATAAATTTCACAATTTTAACATAACTATATTAGACTTTCTTAAATTTTTAATTCACATAACTGTTAACTCTTTTTCATATAAAAAATTTATTAATTGTTATCCCTTTTACACTGAAACATATATTTTACTTTATTTATCTTTTTATTTTTATATCATCTCGATCATTTTAATTTTATTAAAAGGAAGGTCGATGTAATTATATTACAACTGTCCGACTTATTGCCTTTTCTCCAAAATTAAAAGGAGATTAACGTAATTTACCTTCATTTTATATTTTTTTTGGCACAATGGTGATGTTTGGAGTTTCATATTGACAAATTTTCAGATCAACAGAGTTATATGCACAATTAAAACACCAAAAAAAAAAAAAAAATGAACACAAAGTTGAGATGAATCTCACTCGCATTTTCTCTGTTTGAATTATGCACATCTATCATTTCCCTTTTCATCCTGGCCCATATATCCGATAATTATTAGGCCTAAGCTATGGGGAGAGTGAAAAATAATACTTTTTAACAATTAATCTTTTTTTTTTTTTTAATCAAAATAGAATGTTTGTATATTAATAAAGTTATGTTACAACTTAAAGAGTTTGCCGTTGATTTATCAATTCAAAGTCCAGACTTTTCACTCATTGCACCCTAAAGCGTAACTATATGCCACTCAGTCACAAGAAGCTCAACTTTTTAACAATTAATTCACTCGTTGACTTTTCATATGGGAGTCTCTAGCCAATTGGGACGCCCAAATGATTTTTGAAACCAATGACATATGTAACAATGTCACATATTCATAAAAAATAATTTGAAATTTATGAATCATATTTATATGGATGTGATCCATGCTACACTAAATTCAAATATATGCTATAAATACAAATTTTGAGAAAAATTTTTGGTAACTTGTGGCCAAACATAGTAGATATGTTAATTGTTGTAATGGCTCTTAATCAGTTTTAGACATTAGACAATTATTAGGAGAATTTTTGGTTATTTGAAGTTTGATTTTATTTATATACCTTTGAAATGTGTAAACAAAAGACATCTCTTAAATCAGTCTAAAATAAAATAATGAAATCCATAAATTTGGTAGGGTAAATACATTTTTGTGTGTAGAAATTCCATTATTTTAGACCAATCAAATGCTATGTTTTGTTCACACACTTCAATGTGTGAACAAAATCATTTTCAGATATTTGTAAGCAAACTGATTGATTTGGAACTAAAATGTAAGTCATAATATAAATGAGTCAAGTTCTAATATATTTTAAAATTTATTAATTTTTTTAGTTCGATTTGAACTGAGCTCGACAAGCCCAAGCTACTAGAGCTCGTTTGTCATGAGCTCACTAAAAGTTTGTCTAAACCAATTCAAATAATTTTAAAAAATAAAATAAAATAAATTTAAATAGATTTTTAAATTATTTAAATAAAACATGAATAATCTACTACACTAACTAACAATGAAGTTAAAATGTTGGACTATCATTCAATCCAACCAATGAAAAGTTGGGTTCAAAAAACAGTTTAGATAGGGTCCTACTATAAGCAAGATCATCTTCAGTAATATTCTGTTCTGGTAATAACAAAGCTAATCAAGCTGTTGGCCATTTACTAGTCAAATTTAGTTCACCAAATAAACTTTGGGGTGCATAATAAGCTATGATGACAATGTAGGAAAGACAATCATGTCGTTTTCCATTGGAATAAGCTATGATGACAATGTAGGAAAGACAATCATGTCGTTTTCCATTGGAAACTCACAATTTTTCCTTCCAAGAATTTGGGAAAAACTACAGGGAATGCACACAAACTACTGATTTCTAGAGACCAGTCCAAGCCTCAAAGTCATTGATTCACCACGACTCGCACTTAGCCAAGTCCTTCTCTAATGTTGTTTTAGGGTGCAAAAACCTTAAAGAGACTCACGATGATTCCCACTTAGGTGAGTCTTTCAAGGGTTCATAAGAGGCACACGTGCCACGCACGAGATTGCATGCTTTGGTTTCATTCAACGTTAAACCCTTTTTCACCGATCACATTTCACAACACAACTGTCATAGGAAGGAGTAGGAGAGACTTAGAACCTTGTTAAAGTTCACATAGGTGGACATGTTGTGGGGCTATACTCAAGTCCTATGATTGCAATCACCAACAGAAAAGAAAAAAGAAGGCAATCAATTTTTACTCGTATACCCAACATCAATTATATTCCTCAACAGCTATACAAGGAGACCGATTCGACAGAAATCAGATTCCATCTCCAAGGTTCGAAATCAAACTTTAAAAATCCCAAAACCAGGTAAAATATGAAAATACGAGTGTATGCAAACCAAATCATTGCATGATATTTCGATGTTGATTCTTTGAAAATAATGAATGCCCACCATGACCGAATGCTATATACACAGATTCAGGAGTGTGGGCGAAAAAATTGTTACCTTTAAGATGCCCGGTCCTTGCTACATATCTTCAAATATATAATGCTAGGCTTTTGCTTGAGTTGTGTCCATGACTAATATTTGATGTACAGAGCAGACATTTCAGATTGAGCTTGAGCTTGAACTTGTGTTTGAATTCAAGTCTTGGGTAATACCGTGCAATGATTTATGCTGATGGCTAGGCCATGATATGCGCTCTGGGGGGCAGGGTACTGGTGCTGGATGGGCAATGAATGTAGGAATATCTTCTCCAGGCATCAACACCGAAACTTCTCTGGCATTCACAGATATCTGAGGAAATAAAAGATAAACAGACAAATTAGGCATTGAAAGCATAATCACAGTGTTGGGTTTGCAAATGGCAGCTCACATCATTGGTTTTTCAGCGGAGTTAGAAGCAAGGTACTAAAAATTTTTTGTCCCAAAAATTAACTTCTATTAAAGACACAATGCCAAAGAATAAGTTGGCTTATTTTTATTTTTAGTTAATATTTTTCAACTTCGAGTCCAATTTATTTACTTTTTAAGTCCGATGCTAGACGATCCTCAAAGATTTAAAAAAAAAAATTGGAAACATTTTGAGAAAAATCCAACAAAGAATAAAATATGATAAATTTTGTCAAAAAGAAAAGTTGGCTACTTTTTTCAAAAAAAATCAAAATTTATTTATTTTTGGGATTGTCTAGTCTAGATGGACCTAATGAACAGCTGCCCAATTCCCCAGCCCTAAATTTAGCATCTAACCACAACTTAGACAACCATAAGACAGACTATATGAACCACGGTCATTCTAACTAGAGTTCAACTAAGGCCAGCAAGTTCGGTCAACAGGGTGGGTGATGACCCATGAGTGATATCCATTGTGCTTGTGAAAACAGATCCTAACCTGATAGAATGGTAATTCACTCACAATCTTACAATCACAAATTCAAAAAGCAGAAAAACCAGACTCTATTAGGTGAAAAGCAAAACACAGAATAAACATATCACATAACAAGGCCAAAGTTCCTTATTTGAATGATTAGTATGTTTCGTGAATTTTAGGAATTCCATGGCTCTATATGAATTATTAATATGTGAGCTTCTCTAACTCGAATCGGAAGTTTAAGCATTGAAATTTCACTTCGCTAAACCCATGAATTACATTAATTTGACGTCGTAATGATCCAATTCTGATCGTACAGACATACAAGAATAATAATTATCATTGATTAATGATCATCCTACTGGTGCAGTTCTATTTCTTGATGCTCACCAATTAACAAGGGAGCAATGCTATATAAACTAACAAATCTCACTAAATTTTCTTACATTTGTCCCTATCATATTATTCTAGTAGAGCCCGTTTCAAATACCAAAATTTCATTACTGCATGGCACGTCTGCAAGTAAGATTTGTTAGTTTGTATTGTGTTTTTTCATAACAGGAATAGATCCTAGACAGCTGAAACAGCCAACAATCAGCACATTGGCTTAACCCAACCAGTGGTACCCTATCACTCAATATTGTAAGATCTTTCTGTTCTTTTCTTTTTTTGAGTAGGTAATAATATTATCTCAACAACTGACAAATATATTTGACTTTTCCTTTCACCAGTAATACTTAAAATATAAATGGTGGAAGTTGAGATAGACAACGATTTTTTATGACTATAAAATACAACAGAGAAATAGTGCTAAATATTGCAAAAATTACGACTCTAGAACAGTTCCATGTCATGAAGTAGGGGAATTTTTCTGTTAATTGATCAACATCCACACACCGGGCAATTTTTGCTCCGAAGAGCTGTACAAAAGTGTGTTTTGTCCAAACCTTAACTCGAAGATATGTTGTGTGGAACTAAATTAAAGTTAAAGATGTGAAAGTTAGAGGGTTTTGCCTTGCAGGCACTCTTCTTGATATCAATATCTTAGAATATTCATGTTTTTGAGGATCTCATATTGCTCAGACCAGTGGACGAACAACTTAAATAAAAACCAATCATATGTGTTTTTAGTTTAACAGGAAACTTCTACCCGGATATAACTGCGATGTATCTTAAATTTCTCTCTCATTTGATCTGTTATATAGAGCATTAAGGAACATTCCACATATGTCTACTCAAACAAAAAAAAATAAAGGGCACTAAAATTCTTATTATTCTTTCTCCACAAAGTGGATGAACCGCTGTTATCTACAGATAAGAGACCCCTAGAGAAGGAAATGGGAAGCCGACTAGAATTATGTAAATGAGTTTAGCCGAAAGCTGCAGCAATGGAAGTCTTTTTTTAAGATAGCGCAAAAGCTATTTTAAGGCTGTATGCTCGGATCCCCCAACTCATAATAGAAGTGGTAAGTACAAGAGGGTGGCCCCTTAGGCACAATATTTGAACAGGTAAACTTAAATGATGTCTTGTAATGATTTTGGACCATTTAACCAAACTTCATTCCTCTTAAACATCATATGTTTGGCAGTTCATAATTCACTGAGTAATATTACCAATGGCTGAATACATCATGTGTCATGTGCCGCAGTGCATGGCCTAATATCGTACAGATAAGTCATGATCCACTGTATAATCTTCTTAAGGTGGTTACTTTGGAAACCCTAGACATGAAGAAATTTTAATTCATTATCTTAGGGTTAATATTAAACCTGTTGGGAAATTCAGTGAGCCCAAGAACGCTCAACAATACAAGCCCAATCCATTGGGGAGAAACTCCAGAGTCAACACGCATAACACCAAGGCCCAACATACATTGTTTGAAACTCATACCCACTTAAAAGCTTAAGCTTTAAGTGGATAGTCCATTAACGGTATATTAAGACCCACTCCTTTTATTCTTTATCCGATATAACACTATCTTCCCACATGATCCAACAAATACCACATTTTTAGGTTATTCAAAAACAAAAGAGAAAAAAGAAAAAGAAGAGTCCAGTTCAACTGAAAAATTGGTGGGTTTGCCACTAGTGCTTCAAAAAAGACACAGCAATTTTCCTATTATGCACATCAACGTTATGCATAAGACTGCATACATCCAACCCTTTTCCTGACTCTACAATGGTGGTAGCCTCATGCATTGGGTAGTTGGGCTACCCTTGTTAATAAACTATTTGTTACATCATATATGATATTTATCACAGAATTCTACAAAATAAAGTAGTGCAGAAATAGATAGCTTATATCCAGCTACCAAATGTCAATGGATAAAGTTTAAACTAACAGATATCTTTGTTTAATAAAACCAGTTGGATACATTCAAAGCTGGAAAATAGACAATAAACTAAAAACTTGGACACATAGAAATGTTGACAGGCCTGTCCCCAACTCCGGTGCTGGCCATGGTTGGCATCATAAATATTGGCAGTGATGGGCCTAATGGGATACCATGTATAGTGGTGGGGCTAAACCCCAGAAATGCCACAGTTATTTATTAAGCATATAGTCCCTTGACTACTCTCGCATTGGGGCCAATCAACCACCAAAGTGACTTCTTGGATGAACCATTATTCAAATATCTTAATTAAGGGACAGTGCGGCTTCTCAATGTCTCTATTTTAAGGGAACATGCCCATGGCCATATATGATAACGAAAATTTTAGAATAGTTTATGGATAATGGAATGCTATATTAAATAATTGTTTTTATAACTAAATGTTAATGCGAATAAGGTTTTTATGCTTCAATTACTAAATTAATGCATTGCAAGTCATTCCTACATTTTTTTAATTAAAAAAAAAAAATTTGAAAACCAATGCCAAATGTTAATAAATTTCTTCAAGGCGGTTAATTTAGTTTGCAGCATATACTGGAACGTAATAAAACTAAACTGATTAACCAGTACCAAAGTAAAAATAACATGAGCACATTTAAAGAGCAGTAAGCATGTCTTGAGAAAACGTACAAAAACACGGAGAAATAGGTTCGGCCACTTGTAGTACAGAGGGCTACCATAGTATAAGAGTCGAGCCATGCTCATGTTAGAATCACCTCAGGAACATGACATTTTTAACTAAACAAGTCCAATATCTTAACATTAATTCGGCTAATTATAAACGTGCAACCCAAACATGACAAGTATAGCAGGATTAACACATACTAGTCCTGTTTAATACATAACAAATGCTTCAATCAAGGGTTTTGATTAAACAAAGGAAAAAACAAACAAAACAAAGCAAGAACCTCCAAAAATAGAAATGGTAAACAATATTTGCATTTTGGTATATATATTGAGGAGATATAATATTAGTGAATTAGAATGAATTTGGTATTTATACAATGAAAAAATTTATTCATACATAAAATTCATACAAAAAACTCCACAAGAATGGTGTGACAATGCCATTATTGTAAATAAATGTATCTTCAATGGTGTTTTGTTTTCAAGTGAATGATCTATAATGAGCCACATCATTATATATGAATTTTTTTTGTTTATATAGCATTACTCTTATACAACAATTAGATTAAACCAGTTAGCCATATGAAATCCGTGTTAGACGAGTTTGACATTATTTTTCGTGTTATCGAGTTGTTTCACTTTCAGGTTCACGATGAAAACTAATCAACCTTAACGCACTAACGTAGTGTCTAATTAGTTTCATGTTAAACTATTGTGTTGAAAATATCCACCAACTCATATTCTCATATTTATACAAATGGAATGGATTTTTCATTTCTTTTGTGTGGGAAAAAAAAAATGTAAAGAACACAAAGAAACAAGAAAAAGTCTGAAATGAGATAATGAAAAAGAATCAAACAAAAAAGAATTGTGAACAATGAGCCAAAATACAGATACACAGAGAAAATTAAAACGACATTCAGACCAACAATCATCATCACTACTACAAACATCAAAAATGTGTTTCTTTTATTTTTTTCTGGGGAAAGAGAAATTTAAATAATCATCCAAACAGCCAAACCATCTCAGAATAAGTAAAGCAACAAAAGAAAACACCTATTCCAGTTAAAATTGACTACCATCTCCCAAAACTACAAGGATAATAGGCACTTTCCCTAATTTACAAATTTGGAATGTGAACCCCAGAACTGAACCCCAGAATATAATACACATAAATCTATTCTATTATATAAAACACACAACTCATTAAGATTAAAACTTTCCTAGGTAATTTTTATTCCCAAAATAACCCCAACAATTTTAAATTTTCTCAAATATTTACCTTTACATAGCAATTACTACAGACCAAAAGTAAAATCATCCAACCAAAAATTGTTGTTTAGCTGCCCAGAACACCATTTCCACTCTCACTCACAACTGCATACATCCAACCCTTTTCCTGACTCTACAATGGTGGTAGCCTCATGCATTGGGTAGTTGGGCTACCCTTGTTAATAAACTATTTGTTACATCATATATGATATTTATCACAGAATTCTACAAAATAAAGTAGTGCAGAAATAGATAGCTTATATCCAGCTACCAAATGTCAATGGATAAAGTTTAAACTAACAGATATCTTTGTTTAATAAAACCAGTTGGATACATTCAAAGCTGGAAAATAGACAATAAACTAAAAACTTGGACACATAGAAATGTTGACAGGCCTGTCCCCAACTCCGGTGCTGGCCATGGTTGGCATCATAAATATTGGCAGTGATGGGCCTAATGGGATACCATGTATAGTGGTGGGGCTAAACCCCAGAAATGCCACAGTTATTTATTAAGCATATAGTCCCTTGACTACTCTCGCATTGGGGCCAATCAACCACCAAAGTGACTTCTTGGATGAACCATTATTCAAATATCTTAATTAAGGGACAGTGCGGCTTCTCAATGTCTCTATTTTAAGGGAACATGCACATGGCCATATATGATAACGAAAATTTTAGAATAGTTTATGGATAATGGAATGCTATATTAAATAATTGTTTTTATAACTAAATGTTAATGCGAATAAGGTTTTTATGCTTCAATTACTAAATTAATGCATTGCAAGTCATTCCTACATTTTTTTAATTAAAAAAAAAAAATTTGAAAACCAATGCCAAATGTTAATAAATTTCTTCAAGGCGGTTAATTTAGTTTGCAGCATATAGTAGGTAATAATATTATCTCAACAACTGACAAATATATTTGACTTTTCCTTTCACCAGTAATACTTAAAATATAAATGGTGGAAGTTGAGATAGACAACGATTTTTTATGACTATAAAATACAACAGAGAAATAGTGCTAAATATTGCAAAAATTACGACTCTAGAACAGTTCCATGTCATGAAGTAGGGGAATTTTTCTGTTAATTGATCAACATCCACACACCGGGCAATTTTTGCTCCGAAGAGCTGTACAAAAGTGTGTTTTGTCCAAACCTTAACTCGAAGATATGTTGTGTGGAACTAAATTAAAGTTAAAGATGTGAAAGTTAGAGGGTTTTGCCTTGCAGGCACTCTTCTTGATATCAATATCTTAGAATATTCATGTTTTTGAGGATCTCATATTGCTCAGACTAGTGGACGAACAACTTAAACAAATACCAATCATATGTGTTTTTAGTTTAACAATCTTCAAATATATAATGCTAGGCTTTTGCTTGAGTTGTGTCCATGACTAATATTTGATGTACAGAGCAGACATTTCAGATTGAGCTTGAGCGTGCGCTTGTGATCTATCATTTCCCTTTTCATCCTGGCCCATATATCCGATAATTATTAGGCCTAAGCTATGGGGAGAGTGAAAAATAATACTTTTTAACAATTAATCTTTTTTTTTTTTTTAATCAAAATAGAATGTTTGTATATTAATAAAGTTATGTTACAACTTAAAGAGTTTGCCGTTGATTTATCAATTCAAAGTCGAGACTTTTCACTCATTGCACCCTAAAGCGTAACTATATGCCACTCAGTTAATTTACTCGTTGACTTTTCACATGGGAGTCTCTAGCCAATTGGGACGCCCAAATGATTTTTGAAACCAATGACATATGTAACAATGTCACATATTCATAAAAAATAATTTGAAATTTATGAATCATAATTATATGGATGTGATCCATGCTACACTAAATTCAAATATATGCTATAAATACAAATTTTGAGAAAAAATTTTGGCAACTTGTGGCCAAACATAGTAGATATGTTAATTGTTGTAATGGCTCTTAATCAGTTTTAGACATTAGACAATTATTAGGAGAATTTTTGGTTATTTGAAGTTTGATTTTATTTATATACCTTTGAAATGTGTAAACAAAACACATCTCTTAAATCAATCTAAAATAAAATAATGAAATCCATAAATTTGGTAGGGTAAATACATTTTTGTGTGTAGAAATTCCATTATTTTAGACCAATCAAATGCTATGTTTTGTTCACACACTTCAATGTGTGAACAAAATCATTTTCAGATATTTGTAAGCAAACTGATTGATTTGGAACTAAAATGTAAGTCATAATATAAATGAGTCAAGTTCTAATATATTTTAAAATTTATTAATTTTTTTAGTTCGATTTGAACTGAGCTCGATAAGCCCAAGCTACTAGAGCTCGTTTGTCATGAGTTCACTAAAAGTTTGTCTAAATCAACTCAAATAATTTTAAAAAATAAAATAAAATAAATTTAAATAGATTTTTAAATTATTTAAATGAAACATGAATAATCTACTACACTAACTAACAATGAAGTTAAAATGTTGGACTATCATTCAATCCAACCAATGAAAAGTTGGGTTCAAAAAACAGTTTAGATAGGGTCCTACTATAAGCTAAAGATCATCTTCAGTAATATTCTGTTCTGGTAATAACAAAGCTAATCAAGCTGTTGGCCATTTACTAGTCAAATTTAGTTCACCAAATAAACTTTGGGGTGCATAATAAGCTATGATGACAATGTAGGAAAGACAATCATGTCGTTTTCCATTGGAAACTCACAATTTTTCTTCCAAGAATTTGGGAAAAACTACAGGGAATGCACATAAACTACTGATTTCTAGAGACCAGTCCAAGCCTCAAAGTCATTGATTCACCACGACTCGCACTTAGCCAAGTCCTTCTCTAATGTTGTTTTAGGGTGCAAAAACCTTAAAGAGACTCACGATGATTCCCACTTAGGTGAGTCTTTCAAGGGTTCATAAGAGGCACACGTGCCACGCACGAGATTGCATGCTTTGGTTTCATTCAACGTTAAACCCTTTTTCACCGATCACATTTCACAACACAACTGTCATAGGAAGGAGTAGGAGAGACTTAGAACCTTGTTAAAGTTCACATAGGTGGACATGTTGTGGGGCTATACTCAAGTCCTATGATTGCAATCACCAACAGAAAAGAAAAAATAAGGCAATCAATTTTTACTCGTATACCCAACATCAATTATATTCCTCAACAGCTATACAAGGAGACCGATTCGACAGAAATCAGATTCCATCTCCAAGGTTCGAAATCAAACTTTAAAAATCCCAAAACCAGGTAAAATATGAAAATACGAGTGTATGCAAACCAAATCATTGCATGATATTTCGATGTTGATTCTTTGAAAATAATGAATGCCCACCATGACCGAATGCTATACACACAGATTCAGGAGTGTGGGCGAAAAAATTGTTACCTTTAAGATGCCCGGTCCTTGCTACATATCTTCAAATATATAATGCTAGGCTTTTGCTTGAGTTGTGTCCATGACTAATATTTGATGTACAGAGCAGACATTTCAGATTGAGCTTGAGCGTGCGCTTGTGTTTGAATTCAAGTCTTGGGTAATACCGTGCAATGATTTATGTTGATGGGTAGGCCATGATATGCGCTCTGGGGGGCAGGGTACTGGAGCTGGATGGGCAATGAACGTAGGAATATCTTCTCCAGGCATCAACACCGAAACTTCTCTGGCATTCACAGATATCTGAGGAAATAAAAGATAAACAGACAAATTAGACATTGAAAGCATAATCACAGTGTTGGGTTTGCAAATGGCAGCTCACATCATTGGTTTTTCAGCGGAGTTAGAAGCAAGGTACTAAAAATTTTTTGTCCCAAAAATTAACTTCTATTAAAGACACAATGCCAAAGAATAAGTTGGCTTATTTTTATTTTTAGTTAATATTTTTCAACTTCGAGTCCAATTTATTTACTTTTTAAGTCCGATGCTAGACGATCCTCAAAGATTTAAAAAAAAAAATTGGAAACATTTTGAGAAAAATCCAACAAAGAATAAAATATGATAAATTTTGTCAAAAAGAAAAGTTGGCTACTTTTTTCAAAAAAAATCAAAATTTATTTATTTTTGGGATTGTCTAGTCTAGATGGACCTAATGAACAGCTGCCCAATTCCCCAGCCCTAAATTTAGCATCTAACCACAACTTAGACAACCATAAGACAGACTATATGAACCACGGTCATTCTAACTAGAGTTCAACTAAGGCCAGCAAGTTCGGTCAACAGGGTGGGTCATGACTCATGAGTGATATCCATTGTGCTTGTGAAAACAAATCCTAACCTAATAGAATGGTAATTCACTCACAATCTTACAATCACAAATTCAAAAAGCAGAAAAACCAGACTCTATTAGGTGAAAAGCAAAACACAGAATAAACATATCACATAACAAGGCCAAAGTTCCTTATTTGAATGATTAGTATGTTTCGTGAATTTTAGGAATTCCATGGCTCTATATGAATTATTAATATGTGAGCTTCTCTAACTCGAATCGGAAGTTTAAGCATTGAAATTTCACTTCGCTAAACCCATGAATTACATTAATTTGACGTCGTAATGATCCAATTCTGATCGTACAGACATACAAGAATAATAATTATCATTGATTAATGATCATCCTACTGGTGCAGTTCTATTTCTTGATGCTCACCAATTAACAAGGGAGCAATGCTATATAAACTAACAAATCTCACTAAATTTTCTTACATTTGTCCCTATCATATTATTCTAGTAGAGCCCGTTTCAAATACCAAAATTTCATTACTGCATGGCACGTCTGCAAGTAAGATTTGTTAGTTTGTATTGTGTTTTTTCATAACAGGAATAGATCCTAGACAGCTGAAACAGCCAACAATCAGCACATTGGC